GATTAGATATGAGCAATTATGCAGCGGAGAGTGTGTCCTTGTCGTTATAATCTATATGCACTTTCGATTCACAGTTGGACTACTTACAACGGGCATTACACAACTCATTGCAGACACCCATATAGTGGCACGTGGCATGAATGCAACGATTCAAACGTGTCCCCCATTTGAGGCATGAGGCATATGTCCTCTTTTATGAACAGAAGGGACTGAAGCAGCACCTTTGAGGTGACTTTTTTCTTCCTCCTTTTTTATTATGAACGTAATTCTGTGAATTGATTTGTATTTCATGATTGTTCCAAATAAAATATAAGTACACTTTTTCCACTTAGTGTCTGAAAAAAACTAAAGGGGAAACAGGGGCAAAGTGAAAACCTTAAGCAGTTTTTGATTATTGTCGTTCAGTTATAACTGGAGAAATCAAAACAATCAGTCTTTATTTAATAATCTTACAGAACAGTTCAAGATTTTATATTGATTATAATTAAATTATTAGTTATTAGCAAGTTTACAACAGTGGCTTACCATCCACTTTGCCCGCGACCCCAGGTAAAGTGGATATGGTACCAGGGTAAAGCGAATAACAACATTGTTTGGCATGCAATTAAAGTTACGAACAAAATAGGCATTGAAAATTGGAAAAACATTTCAAAACAATATGCAGTGTGTAAAAGCCAAATGAAATAAATTAATTATTTTGGTTACTGTACATATTTAACAAAATCCCGAAACACGTCGAATTTAAATTATGATTTGACATACTTCAACGGAAAAATGAATCTTTTGTATCCTTTCACATATGTTGTTCACAAAATCCCTGTCAGAACCCATCATAGTTTTCTAAATAAAGTTGTGCTCACAACGGGTAGTGGTTTTTTCGTGCGCGATGAACCAATCTAACGCATGAACACGTTTTTAACGATTCGAAATCCAATACCAAACAGCGTTGTATCGGTCAGCTATGCGAACCGCGAATGTATTATAATTGGACTGATAGTCTAATTGTGTATATTCTATCACTTAGTCTAGTTATTATTATAATATATGTTTTTCATTTCATACAATGTCATTTCAATCTGGGTTACTTGGTTTATGAGGTTAAGAGTTGGTTTGTACAATGGTCTTATTTTGGTCTTATTAGTGTGTTAGTGAATGTTTGCTGTTCTTCTTCTACTGCGTTATTGGGATCCGTAGACTGTGGTCAGCGGAGTTGTGTAGAACCGAGTTAGGGTGCGGGTTATCCACTAGTTGATCGACAACCGGAAACTCTACCTCAATATCTAGAAATTGCTCCAGAGCTTCTAGTATCATAACCGGATGAAATGGACGTTTTTTTTCTGGGCTCTTCTGGTGGTTGGTCATGGCTTCAACGGGGTGGGCTATGTATCGATTTCAGTGAGTGATGTTATGGCAATGGGTGGTTGAAGCAAATATTCATCTCGATGTTTCTGTAATCTAAAGTTAATAGATATGAGTTTAACAGTGTTGTATAATTGACTAGATGGTTAGCGGTATGGGAGGTTATGGTAATTACGGAGTGTTCTTTTGTTTAAAAAAAATAAATATGTTTTTCCGTTAACCAGCTGTCGCACCCCTACGAACGAACAATTAAAGTTACGAACAAAATAGGCATTGAAAATTGGAAAAACATTTCAAAACAATATGCAGTGTGTAAAAGGCAAATGGAATAAATTAATTATTTTGGTTACTGTACATATTTAACAAAATCCCGAAACACGTCGAATTTAAATTATGATTTGACATACTTCAACGGAAAAATGCTACCCCTACCTTCAACACCTGTCGAATGACAGGCACAACCCCCAATTTTTTAAATGGGAAGTATAGACTTGAGCTATATCGTTTAAAAGGTCTCATCATTCTCTACTCAAAAATATTTTTGAATATTATCCTTTAAAAAACTGTAAATAATTTCCATGGCAACGTTACTTTAAAACGCCTTGTAAACTTGTTTTGTATGTTACAACATAAGTTGTCAGTATTTAAATTTAAGTTTAAAATTCGTTAACTTCAAGTCTGACAAAATGTTAGATTAATGGAAATGCATAAAATAACAGTTATACAAATGATTGGTTACGGAGATAAAACCCGAACACTACAGGAAGTAGCTTGCCTATTTCATGAGGAATTCCCCAATTTACCGCCCATATCTCAAGGAACAATAAGCAAAATAAAGAAGCAGTTTCGCGAGCTTGGTCATGTGGGGCAGATATAGAAAGCAGCTGTCAATGCAATGAGTGATGAACTTAAATTAGATGTGATGTTTGAGGAAAACCCACATACATAGAGTAGAGAGGCATCCACTACATTCAATATTAGACATACATAGATAGTAAACATATTAAAAGAATGCATCCCTATAAAATGATATTTACTCAGGAGCTCATGGAAGACGATTTTGATAGAACAACTTATTTTTGCAAGCAAATGATGGACATGTTGGATAACAATATCATCCAATTAGAAGACGTTATGTTTTCTGATGAGTGTACTTTGTCTCTTAACGGTCATGCTAATCGCTAAAATTGCCGCTACTGGTCAACGAAAATACTCACTGAATGAGAGAACACACGCAATACCCTCAAAAGGTTAATATTTGCGCAGATATTGTAGGAAACCATATCATTGGTTCCTTTTTAATTAAGGGCAACTTGAATGGTGAAAATTATTTGGCACTACTTCAAAATGATGTCATTCCAAGTTTAACAAATCTATATCCTGATCCAGGAAACCCTAAAGTTCCAGCGAATACCTCGATACAACATTTCCCAATCGGTGGATAGAAAGGCGAGGATCGATTGAATGGCCAGCGCGATCAACTGATCTTTCATTGTTAGATTTCTTTTCATGAGATTTGTGAAGAGCCATGTGAAGAGCAGACTACGTAGGCATTTCAAAAAGTGCGGTACCTAGTATATCACCTAAAAATTTGGACATGAAAAAACTGTGTGCAAGATGGGTGTCGCGTTTGCTCACATTCGAGCAAAAACAGTTTCGTGAAGATATTTCAAGTGTTTAGCGATGTTTCACAGCAACAAAGCAGAATTCTTGCGTCGTTTCATAACCATGGATGAAACATGGGTCCATCACTTCACATCCGAGACAAAAAAACAATCAAAACAGTGGAATCAAAAGAATGAACCGGCTCCAAAGAAAGCAAAGACTGTTTCATTTGCAGGCATCGGTTTTTTGGGATGCGCGTGGGACAATTTTCATTGACTATCTTAAAAATGGTGAAACTATCAACGGCGATTTGTTTGAAGGTGTTTCATTATTTCGGACTTTCATTGTCTAATATGAAATAAATTGATTTGAAATCTCTGAAAGAATCTGTAAAAAATTAAAAAATAATTATATTAGGCAATTACAATGAATTAAAATACAAGCAACAACCAAAAATACAAAAAAATGGACTATTAACACGAGATGAAATTAAAAAATAAACGACAAAATTAAAAATTGAAAGATTCCAAACCAAGTCACTGCATGACGTTTCAATTGTTAGTAGCCACAATCGTCTTCGGGTGATAAGTGGACTTATTCCTGCACGTCGTCTTGATTTCAGACAAGTTGAAGCCTGGCTCCCTTACCCTATGGACTGATGTGGACTTATTCCTCGGAGATCTGACTATTTATAGGTCATTCGAGTGCTTTCACCTATCCCCACCTTCCCTGTCTCCGCTTCATCGGTTTAAGCAAAAGCTGACCGTTTGGCGGGAGTTGGTCGTGTTCCGCTTGATTAGAGGTTTCCATATGTTGTGTATCTCTACGCTAGCTTGGCTAAATGCGTTGTTGGATAACATATATGCGGCTCCTTTGACGAATTCTTCAGGACGAATTCTTCACACAAGGTGAGGGATTGTCAATCTGGTTGAAATACGTGGACGGCACCGTCATATGGAACCATGGGAATGCAGAACTAAATACCTTCCTGAAGCATATCAACAACGTAAGTCCTTCCATCACTTTCACAATGGAGAAGGAAGTCCACAACGAATTGCCATTCTTGGACTTATTGATGAAGAGGACCGACAGTAAATAGGAAACATCTGTATATCGAAAACCCACTCACACAGGACAGTATCTTAACCAGGAATCCAACCACCATCAATCGACTAAGGAGGAATCATCAAGACTGTACTAGGCTCTGTAATACGAAGGAAGGTCTCGAAAAAGAACTAGGCATCAACAAAAATGACCTTCACCGGAATTGTTACTACAAAGTGACGGCCGAACAGGCTTTAGCTAGAAGACAGCAAGAACTCCACAAGGAAGAGAAACCGCCACAACCAGTACTTGTACTTCCCTATGTCAGAGAAAACCAGGCCACCCAACGCAGACTGCGATTCCAAGAATTGCATTTATCGGATACCCTGCGAGTGCGGAGAATCATACATCGGTGAAACTAGGCCATTGAAAGTTCGCATTTCCGAGCATAAGAAATACACATGGCAAGGAGAAACCAGCAAATCAGGAATAGCCGAGCATGTTTGGACTCATCAACATAACATCAAGTGGGCTCAATCTGAAATCATCCACAAAGAGAAATACTGGTTTAGGAGAAAATTCAAAGAAGCCGCTTGTATAAGTTATCCAATAACGCATTTAGCCAAGCTAGCGTAGAGATACATAACATATGGAAACCTCTAATCAAGCGAACTCGACCAACTCCCGCCAAACGGTCAGCTTCCGCTAAAACCGATGAAGCGGAAAAGGGGAAAGGGGGATAGGTGAAAGCACTAGAATGACCTATGAATAGTCAGATCTCGAAGGATCTGAATGACCTAGCCAGATCTCGGAGGAATAAGTCCAGTTATCACCCGAAGACGATTGTGGATACTAACAATCAAACGTCGTGTAGTAACTTGGTTTGGAATCTTTTAATTTTTTAATTTCTTGTTAATTTTTTGCTTGATATAATTGTTATTTTTCAGCTAATCTCCTTTTAATAAAAACATGCATCGAACGCAAACACAAACCTTTTCTCGGTAACTCCATGTAATCTTCTCCCTCAGTAACCCTATTGGGAGCAGACGAGGATTCGCAGATTTGCGCCGCCGAACATGGGGTGGTATTAAGAAGAAGATCTGGCAACGATTGTTGTAGGAAAGAAGGAACAGGAGGCGGCGGTAGAAAGAGAATAGTGTCAGGTGGCGGGCCTAAGTCCAAACACTCTCCTAGACAATTCATAGCAGGTTCCCTAGAAAGACAGAAACTTTGATCATTGAACCCTGAAAATAGTAATAATCATACATTTGAATATTACTGAAGTTTTATCCCAATACCAAACCGTTATTTTAATACCTCTACACTTGTTTTGATCACCATGTGATCGAGGAGTTCAATCTTCCTCTTGAAGATGATTACTTGGTGATTGAAACACGTGTCGAAGTGTTAAAATAACGGTTTGGTATTACTCCAATAATATTCAACTTGGTTTTTGTCGAATAAACTTGTAAGGCAATATTTTTGATTGGTTGAAAAACTATTTCCAAACCATCAGATGCTGAAGCCATCAGTATCACTAACGTATCAAATTCCTCTGCTACAACAACTATATCATGGGGCTACTATCTTTATTCTATTCTACAATCGAATAATTCAATCAATTTCTGCTGAACTCCAATTTATATTATTTTTGACCAGCTTTTTTAGCAGAGGAAACTGCTGTTATCAGCAGTTTCCTATTTTCATTTTTGATGTTTTCTAAAAATTTTTCTTTAGTCATATTTAGAGGAATGTATCCTTCAGATGAATAATTAATTGGTGAATTATCTATGTAGGTATCAGCGATTTCTCACATTCGCAATCGGTGTATTTTTTGCACAAAATAATTTTTGGGAAAGAAAGCTTATGGCAATCTACTTCTCCACCTTTATACAAAAAAATGGTGGAATCTTCCAAAGAAAGGAAGGAAGCAGACAATTTAAAAAAATGAACTCTATACAAAGTTGTGTAGATTTTTCAAAAAAGTAACTTTCAGATACAAACTGTAATTCAATGTTTACATGAAAGTAGCTATTTCGAAAAGACTTTTTCTTTCAGTTTGTGTCTGAAAGTTACTTCTTTGCATGATTTACACATCTTTGTACGAGGTAAATTTTTTGAAATTGATTGCTTCCTTACTTTCCTAGAAAGCTTCCCACATTTTTTTGTATAAAGATGGAGAAGTAGAAAGCCAAAACCTTCTATTCCCAAAAATGGATCACTCCTAAAAATATACCTCTTTTAATTTGAACAAGATTCCTATGGCTGAGATTCGATCAAATAAGCGAATGAATGTCATTACGTACTGTCATGAGTAGATTAAACTCATTCATGACATTAAGTCGTAATTTTATGAAAAGATGAAGTAGTCGATCTTATGTTATCAAGATTAGGTGTTCAAGAGGCGGTAAGGTAAGTGTTATACCAAAACATCGGATGTCCACCCGTGATGACAGTTTTCCATGTGAGTGAAATTGTACCTCTTTCATCAACTTTATTGTGTGGCAATCCTGTGAATGATGTCTGATTCAATTCCATAACGAATGTTTGGAATAAAAACTGAGTGGATAAAAGTGTTTTGGTATAATTCAGTGTTTACATGAAAGTATTTGCCTCGAAAGTATTTTTCTTTCCTGTAATCCAATGTTTATATGAAAGTGGCTCCCAAATTTTAGAAAATCACAATTCAGTTTGTTGTCTTCTCACTACAGCAAATAATCTCACTGTATAAATGCCTGTCTGTTGTTCGAGAATAGTTATCTGTTAGATTGTGACAATTCAACAGACAAAGAAACATATTGACATAACTACATTTAAAAAGATGTTGTGGTCCTTTTCCTTTACGAAAATCAAAGACTCAAACAACTGTACGAATTTATCAAATTCCACATATGACTAAATCTTTTTGAACCTTCACTAACATCACTAAACACCAAACAGGAACCACCCCACATTCAACAACCAACTCAAAAACCTCACAATACAATGATCTATACAGATCTCTGAAATCATTCCTGCATTCTATACTCAAAAACTGATGAAAAACCTTTACTCACCTTATTTCCGTATCTGACCAACAACAAACAACAAACAGGTTGAAGATACTCCCTACAATTCGAGGGATGTATATCGAAATGTAGCGTTATCGATTTTAGGGAGAAACGCATGCGTCGCGACGCCAGACGCCCCATCGATTCCGTCGTCTCGAGGGTTGTTTGGACGGATCAAGTGCAATTCAGAGCGTCCCTTCACCTTTCGGCATTTCATGAACATCTCATGATCATTTTATATATGTTCAATCTGCGATAAAATCTTTTTTCGCTAACGCTTATTTTCTTGGAAACTCATCGTTCATTATACAAGGTGTAACAAAAAGATAGGTCATAAATTGAACCATATATTCTGCGGCCAAAAATAACTCGATTGGATATAACTTACCTCGATGCAAATGTGCACAAAAAAAAAGTTACAGCCCTTGGAAAGTACAATATGAAAATCGATTTTTTCCAATATTTCATAAACTGTTTAACATTTTGCATTTCATTAGTTCGGACTTCCATTGTCTAATATGATATAAATTGATTTGAATTACCTGAAAGAATCTGTAAAAATTAAAAAAGATTAGCTGAAAAATAACAATTATATTAAGCAAAAAAACTCAAATTACAATGAAATATCAGTTTACTTGTACTTCCCTACATGAGAGGATTATAGGAAGGGATAAGAAGGAGTGAGTCCAAGTATAACATCAGAACCTGCCTGGGAACACTATCCGTAGCAGCCTCACGAAAACCAGGCCACCAAACGTGGACTGTGATTTCAACAAATGGCATTTACCGGATACCCCGCGTGTGCGGAGAATCATACATCGGTGAAACTAAGAGCCCATTGAAAGTTCGCATTGCCGAGCATAAGAAACACACACACAGCGAGGAANCATTTTTAGAAAAAATAATCATAATTATTCGTCAATATCTTTTAATTTATTGCGATGAATAGCCTCAAATTTTATGGGGAGGCTGAGCCTCTCTTGCCTCCTCTGACGAGCCGCCGCTGATGATTCAAATCAAAAGAGTGAAGAAATATAACTGGTCCAGTGTATTTCAGGCGTTGAACTTGAAATTGAGAGTAATATCGAAAATTTCAAAAAGTACGTGGTAAAAGTTTTGAAAAGAAAAAATATTTATCAAGTTTCAATCAAATTTCCAATCATATACTTACTCGTATACTACTATGGAAATGTAGTTTCAGTTCTAGAATCTCCTACATGTGAATCAATTCAATTACATATTTAAAACACTTTCTACTTGACTCGTCAACAAATTAATTTTGTTCAAGCTAGTTGTCACACATATTTGGAATAATGCAATTGAGAACCATGGAGAATAAAGAGAGCTGTTGCGCGATATTTCTAAGGCATTTGACGGTGTGTGGCATGAGGGTTTGCTGGCCAAACTTCGATGATATGACTTGTCGGATCATTTCTGTTTATGGCTCTCCAGCTTCCTGAAAGAACGTTCATGCAAGTGGCCGTCGATGGACATCACTCGAATACTTTTACCATCAACGCTGGTGTTCCCCAGGGATCCAACCCTCTTTCTACTGTATATCAACGACTTATTGGAAAAAACAGGAATCCATAATATTGATTTGCCAATATGTCTTGGCACAATCATGTCGCTGGAATTGCAAAGGCTGCTTCTCAAACTCTTGGAACACTGTTCCGAACCAGAAAACTATATACACTTCAGCAACTTTTGATGCTTTATAAAGCTCAGATCAGACCTTCTTCGAAGTATCGTTGTATGGAGCTCTGCCTCAAACATACCCTGAAGTTGCTGGATTCCATCCAGAAAAGAGCCATCCGCCTGATTGGAGACACGAACATCACGTGCAACCTTGATAGCCTGGAACATCGAAGAAAGGTTGGAGATTTGTCTCTCTTCTATAGATGCTTTCACGAGAGGTTTTCAAGTGACTTGGCATATTTGATTTCATCAAGAGCGGTTCAACTCAGTACATTTCGAACTTCACTGTTTAAGAACTCTTTCATCTGGAGAACCGCGTGTATGTGGAATAAACTTCTTGAGAACGTTTTTCCAAATGGATTTAATCTCCAGCGATTCAAGTCCAATGTGAATCGCTAATTTCGCACAGGCACCGCTCTGAAAGCTCGTTATGGATTTTTCTGTAGTGCTTGTATTTTGTCCTTGAAAGAAAATTAAATTAAGTTGAAGAAGTCATCATCATGTCAGTAATAATGTGTTGTGAATTTAAAGGTAGTATGTGATAACGAACAAGAACCGAACGCTTCACCGAAAGTTATTAATTTTGCAAAAAAATATCTAAAACAAGAATCGACTGAAAAATTTCTCTGATCTTAAAGTTGATTTTGGAGCTTACCGATTATATTTTATTCCTTGCAAGGGCAATGAATATGCCATTTATTAGAGAGTGGTTTAATCGATATGAGTTTAATTGTATATTCGAAAAAACTAAAAATATTGAAAAATACAAGCGAACCAATTGACGAAAGTGATTGTGTAACTGTATCATATCTTGAGGGGGAAATTAATGGAAGAAAGGATGTCATACTTCTAGCCCTACAAGCTGCAATACAATCCACAATAGGTAATGTTGTTCGCGATGCACGTCAAGCATTCGACGATAAAATTGCAGAGGCTCGGATAACATTGACTCGTAAATATGATAATCTTAAAAGTGATTTAGAAATGAAAATTTCTGATATAACAACATCTACAATGAAGAAATATGACGCTTTGGAACAGTGAGTTGTAGTTTTGATAAAAACCATAAAGTCAGTTCATTAGGTGGACCATTACTGGGGTATCCAGGAATGAACATTAGAACCGAAACCAAAACCGACAGAGGGCGAATTAATTGAACGAACATGGTGAATGTATGTCGCGCGAGAAGCGCGTGCTTTCCCGAGGCCGAAGCGCGAAGCGCGAGGCCTCGCCCACCCGGATGGGGCGGGGTGGTGGGTGGACGTGGACCCTTGGGGCCACGCCCTCCGGAGACCACCCACCGACCCGGGACCCCGCATACCGCCCGAAGCCTCGCCCACCGCCTCGAAGCCCCGCCCACTGCCCTGACCTCAACTCCTAACACTCGCGCATGCACGCCCCCACCCCCATTGCACGTGCGCGCCCCCGCCTCATTCCCACCACTCGCGCATGCATGCCTATACCCCAAGGAGAGCACTCCTCAACATTCAGTACGTCGACGACCGCTCGTAAGAGCTTGAGACCCTTTACGCCGCCCGCAGCAGCCACAAGTGCTAGTGCCACAGCTTATCGGAGGGGATAGTGAAAAGTTTAAAACTTTTCCACAGAGGTGCAGGGAAGCAGAACATGCTTCCCGATCTAGTGAGGCCGCGTTGGTTAACATGAACCGCCAAAAGGCTGAAATTGTTAACCGACGGAGGTAACTAGAAAAAGAAATGGCCGAACTAGATCGAAAGTATGCATCTCTGGAGGAAAGGTGTAAAGCAGAGACCTCTTCGATAGAGCGGTACAAAAAGTTAGTGACAATTATGGACACNTCTTCTCATGACGAATATAACGCGTGTTGACTAAATTCGGGGATTGTATGACAAAATTTTATATGACAGTATTTACAGTGACTACGATGATTATAGAGATTCATGATCTATTTATTTATTTATTCATTTATTTATTATTAAAATTGGCCTACAAGGCCTTATTACATAGATAAAAAATGAAATATAAATTTAAATTGATACATTTACATGGCTTACATTCTGATACTTAATACATGCTCATTTCCCTGCATTCCTTCACGACCCTCAACCCACACAATTTCTAGAGTTTCGTTAATTTCTAAAATTTCTTCATTCAAATTAATTATATTCAAGAGAATATGTGATAGATTGCTATCCATTTATAGATTTCTATATTCATCTACAGCACCCTTGCTATGTGTAAATATTATAAAATTCGTTTTATCATTGCCTTTGATATATTCAAGGCTTTTTGAATAGCTATGATTTCCAAGAACATTTATCATCTATCATTGAGTCATCTGTTTTTTTTAATTAATATAACGACATCGACTACGAAGGTTATTAGTGGTGTGTTTCAAAGAATGTGCATTTGTAACAGCTACATTCCACCAGATTCAGAAATCAATTTGGACAATCTGACTCAACAATTACCAACGCCTTACGTTGTCTTGGGAAACTTTAACGCCCATTATACATTAACTAATTGGAGAGGCAGCAAACTTGAGACGTTTATCAACGCATCCAATCTTGTGCTTCTAAACTCTGTTGAAATAAATAGATTTATCGCAACTGGCATGGGCGTCGCCACTGCATGGCAACGGGGGGCTGTGGTTTTCAAAACAAGTCATACAATATAGAGCCTTTTAGGAAGTCCAAAGGACAAAGTCGAGAATTGGAGAAAGTCTGGAATTTACGAAATTAAATGTAAGTACTGCTATGAAAAATATTATGGACAGACAAAAAGATCTATCAAAATAAGATATAAAAAAACACTTAGCGCACTTAAAATATGGAAGACCTTAAAAATCAGCACTCGCCCATCATATTTCGCAACAAAACCATTCCATAGACTTCAGTTCATTAAGATTAGTTAAAGTTAACAACAACAGGCATCTAAATGCCTATGAGAATGTAGAAATAAGTAAATATAACAATATTATGATCAATGATGGTGGATCAATACCTAATAATATACTATATGGCTTGTTAAATATTTTATTCATTAGATTTACCTGGCTATTGACACATTGTAAAATTAATTTGAGACAAGCAGATAGGACAATATTGTAAAATTGAATTTTATATAGCTTATGATATTTTAATTAGTATATTTACCTATTACATAAGGACACATTGTAAAATTAATTTAAGTCTAGTAAATAAGGCAATTTGTGAAATTGATTTAAGACAAGTAGATAAGGCAAATTGAAAAATCAATTACAGACACTCAAGGATCAGGTACCTGGAACAGATATCTAGCTTTATGATTAGTTAGATAGCTTTATGATTAGTTGATTATGATTAGTTTGATCTTTCTCTTGCAGATGATCACTTGGTGATCGAAACACGTGT